TGAAAAACTGAAAATGTGGGAAATTTGGTAGGTATAGGTGTTAGGTAAGAGGAGGGGGGTCGTACCTAGACCCTCCTTTGGGGGGGGGGTCGTAGTGATACCACCAATTCACACATCATGTAGCTGTACCCTGATTCTAATGCCTCAGACATGTGATGTTCTCTTAGGGCGGCGGTTGTTGCATAAGCGGTCATGTGCGCGGTATTCTCAGGAGCGAACTAGCGCCAAGTATACCGAGTGGGTCATGGTGGCGTAACGAATAGCGCTCCCACTTGGAAAGGGTGAGATGCGCGTATGTGTCCCTCCTGGAAAGACTTTGGGCGGAGGTGGTGTACTGGGAAGTGGCACGCCTACCACCATGCGCACTAATAGGGGATGAAATCCTGGATCGGCTCCTGCCCGGGCCAGTGAAGGCTTCTACCCTCGGGACGGATTGGTACCAGATTGGTTTGAAAGGATAGGATCACTGACTTGTACAACGGCTGGCCGCCTCAAGTGATTGTACATAGGCCCTACCGCAGTCACTGAGGCACCACGGTTCTGAATGAAGGCAGAATGCGTGCCTCATTGCCTCATCTCAGAAAGGGATTGTACTGTTGTACGGATGTCTTTGTGGCATAGAGTATAAGTGGTTCGCTTGTTTTGTGCCTTACACGTTTATTAGGGGTGTTTATTATGCCTGCCGTTTTGAGCTAGTTATCCTCTTTGGGGGTCAAGATTCCCACCGTTCAAGCGTAAAAGTCCGCTTCTATATGAGACTTGTGAACTTACAACTTAGAAAGATGGGAACTCTGGCCTTCGATGACGACTATTCAATGGAGACTGAAGGCCGTATCAAACAGGTGTTCCACCAAAGAATCTAGATAGTCGCAGAACAAGTGAAAGACTCACAGCTAGCATGCCGAAGTTGCAAGGAGAGAAAGCTGGGCAATATAGCATAAGACTTCTTCTAAGCATTGATTATTACACTAATGGAAGGTTTTATAATATTTACTTCTGATTATTACACTAATAGAATGTTTTATAATATTTGCTTCGTTATCGAAAGGTGGAGTCGTACTAGCTTCTGTAACGTTCGAGATGTTGAGACTTGCTAAGAGCTGAAATCGGATTTGGCATCGACAGCCTTCACTTTGTTTTCTCCTGCGTTTCAATTTGATCTGCTGCATTCTTTCCTCTCAGTTCCAATCTTTTTTTGTCTTCGTAGTCCTCTATCTTTTTTTCATTCCTCGAAATCTTCTGACAGAGCAGTGGGCCCCTAAAGTGAAGGAGGTTGAGAGGTTATGTGGTGCGTAGCAGAGATTTCCCAGAGGAATGGGAGCAGGTGCTAGTGCTCATGCGAAGAACCATGATCGTGCGCTGTGAGACCACAAGAAAAGGGAGTGTGTGTGTTCTTTAGACACCACCTGCACGAGAGGATGCTTGTACATGATGCTTGCAGGATTGCACGTTTGCAGTGATGGATGTATCCGAATCGGCGCAATTCGCCTTGGTGGGGGCACGAAGTGGTACTTAGCGAAGCTAGTTCAGGTCACTTTGTGAAGACCTGTCAAACCCTGGGACCAAAGTGGCTCACAAACAGTATTTTGCCTATTCACAGGGCTTTACAGGCCACACCAAAGTGTTAAGTAACCCGAAGCAGGAAAAGTAACTGCTGGCAGTGTAAAATGCCCCTCCCAAGCCGAACACCGCCTCCGTGTCTAATGCAGCAATGTTAGAGTATCGGCAAAATTCTTCTCTGATCAGCTTTTTCTACTACTGGCTTCCATTATGTTTTGTGGGACTGCGCAGCCTACCTTGTATGCGCCATTCGACACCTTATGAAACTACCAACGGAACCTCAAACGCTTGGATAATCGATGCTCCTAGTTCTCTAAGAGTTCCTGTAGGCAGTTCTAACGTCAGCCCTTCCATCCAGCTCTTGAAAATGACTGAGATTGGAAACTTCTGATCACCCTACGCAATGAGCGTTGGCTGTTCACTGATATGGGCTGGTCCCCTGCGGGTCAGGCGCCGGCCCACGGGTAAGCTCGTTCCGTTTCGGGCACTTTGGCGTAAGATGGCCGCCACAATCACTGTTGAATAAGCGCTGTGCTATGAGATTTTGGCAGACTGCAAGCCAAATCACTTATGTTCTGTGGTTAAATCACGTTTGCGTTGGGTGGAAATCAGGCAGTTCCCATGCTGGGGAATCCCCAGCGGAGAGGGAGGGGAGGAGAAATTCTGATTGCTGACCTTTTTTTCCTGCTCACGCGATGCCACATTTGGAAGCTCCCACTCGAGAAAGGAGAGCTGCGTCCCGCATGTGGTTGTCATTGTGAGGTGGGGGGAGGGCGAGGGGACCCTGAAATTCCTTCATGAAAATGCGCGAAAATTTGTCTGGGTGTTGACTTTTTTTGTTTTTTTTTCTCTCAGTTTAAGTAGGGCGGGGCACATAAGTTTAGTTTATTGGGGAGAAAAGCCTGGAAACTTTCTGAGAAAAGTTGCGTGAAAATTTGGAAGTTTGCGAAAAGACAAGTAAGTGGAATAGAATGAAGCGAGGGGTCAGTACCAGAGGAGATACTGGTTTGGAGTTGATATTTTTTTTTTGATTCCCCGGTCGGGCGGTATGCGTCTGACATGACAATGGCCCTGGCGCGCGCTTGGTCAATCTTTCGCCGTCTGTCGACGCAAAACCTCAATTCGCTTGCAGAGTCTCAGCGCGTCATCTTCGTCGTCCCTCATTCATTTAATTTCCTTCTATTGCTCGTGCAATTTCTCGCTTGATAGCGCTTCTAACGGTTTTTCTTCACATTTCTAATTAAAGTGGACCGTGTGTTGAAGTGGCGGATTGCAACTTGGCGGCGTCATCCCACGCAGGGATCGTTTTTTCTGGTTCAGAGAAAAAATATAATCAGGTTTTTCATCTTTGTTGGTTCCTGAAAGACCGATTTCAAGCAAGCCTTTTTGCGATCATTACCCGGAAATAGTGTTTCGGTTTATCTAGGGAAAAGTTAATGTTCAGACTACTGTGTAACGGGCTCGGTTCTCAAGAATCCTTGATACTTGTGCTTGTGAAAAGATTTCTTCTTGCGTTCTGATGTTGAACGTTGAAGGTGCATTCTGACGAAAACCATATGATTTATTGTAAATGTGGTCGTGGCGGAGGTGGTGCAGTAGCAAGTGGCGCGCTTATCGTGCGGTCCGGGTGTCAATCCCGGAGCGGCTTCCACTCAGGTCAGGTCTCAGACCTTCTACCCTCCGAGACAGTGAATTGGTACCAGTTTCGTTTGGGAGGGTAAAAACACATGCTGTACATCGGGTGGGTCCCGCAAGTCATTGTATAGGCCACATCGCATTCAGTAAGCCACTACGATTCTGAATGGAAGTAGAATGCGTGCCGCATCCCACAAAGGGATTGATCAATGGCGAAAACTTTATCCTTTTTTTATAAATCATTTTCATACTCATCTCTGAAAAATATTCTTTGTTGCCCTGGTTATTGTATGGAATGCTTTGCAGAACAGTCAATCGATTTTTATGAATCAAAATCGTTTTGGAAAAGCGAACATATCAAGGCCAGACGCGGGTTTCATAAATCACGATCCGTTCTGGCATTCCTAGTGCAGCAAATGGTCATGATTTCAAAGTAATCTGAAGAAGTGGTGCCAAAAAACTTGTGCAACGACGTCGTCCGACTTGCGTTTTTCCTCCTCTTTGAGTTCCATTGACTTCACTAAATTCATTGACTTCATCATGATTGCCCTTGAGCTCTGCAATACTATAGGTTGTTTTTGTGCTGACGATTCGTACGCTATTTTTCATCGTGGCGTGTCTTGAGGCAATTAACGCCTTGATTTAGATCTCTGCTATTACATCGCTAATTCCCACATTTCACAACGACGATGGCATTAGGCATAACCACAAAGCCAGTAACAGTTTCCGGAATCTTCTCAGCAAAAGAAGCGCAGAAACGAAGTGCAAGTAACGACCGTAGCAGGCGTCGTGGTTCACTTCCATTCAGTATAGGGCCTGTCACAAAAGTGCCCATTAGCCCTCTCGAGAACTCGTGGCTAGTTCGTCGTTTGGCCTCGTTGCTTCGTCGAACGTCGACCGAGGGCGGAGATGAGGGCGTGACCACGATTCACAGCCACAAAAGTCAAGAGGAGTGCTGTATGCAGTGTCGTCAGGCATTTGATGAAACCGTCCAGCGATGGACATCCGACGAAGAATGCACCATCGATCCGACGACTGTCTATCGCCAACAACTTCGTGTTTTGCTTCAAGAAGAGCCGACGACCATAGAATTCACAGAAACCGACTTCAAAAACCTCACCCGCTCACTTTCTGAAGGAGACCTTGGTCGCGAGGAGAATGACGACACACGCGAAGCAATCGATAGTCTTATTGAACGCTATGGATTGATGTCAGGTGATGACTTCTCAGGTTAGCCATCTTGGTGGATCCTGAAAAATACTTTAGGAAAAAATCTGGTACTTTTAGACACTCTCTGCATTCCTGAAGGAACTGTTCTTGGCGACGATGAATGCTACATAACCAGCGCATTTATCGAAAGTCTGGAGCGTTCAGATGATACTCAAGCTGACTCCGTGAACTCCTCGGATTCGACCACCTCTTCCAATACCCGACCAAAAAAATTGAGCGAAAATAATCGCCCCAGCTCGTTATGTAACGACTATCAGCCCGACAGTGATGGCGGTAATCAGGAACCCGTGAGTCGAACCCGAACATTTCCACAATGCAAACGACGCGTATCGGCCCTGCTGTTTGATACGCTTGCCAGACGACTTTCAAAGCACTGTAGAACCGATCCCAAATGGAAACGCGATTCTGTGAAAAATGTCCTCGAACGTGCCTGGTATGCCGAGAACGACGGTGAGTTTTTTCGTAGTTTTGCGCTCAAATGAGCGACATTGTTGACTAATGTCAAGTACGAGAGAATTGAATCGCACGAAGTAACACTAAGAACTTGGAATGAATATGAAATTTGAGGTCATCGGATATTTTTTTCTGGAAATAAGACGAAAAATCTTGAATTTAGGGCTTCCCGATCATTTATCCAGTGCACTATCGCCTCCGAACGAGATCAGTGAGATTGAGGCGGTTCCAGTCGATTCATCGACAACGGCCAAATATAATTTGTGAGTTCCATAAACTACTTTTGCTTTAAAATCCACATCCGTGAGACTCTATTCCTTGACTGGATAAAAGCTGTATTTTTCATTTTTTTAGAGGAATGACAATGACCTCATTCTGACGTTATCAGTAAAAGAAGTGTCATACACCCTAGTATATCTCATTTTTCGGCACTGTTCATGCTGCCCCGCTTACAAAGCCAGATATTATCGAAATTTTCCCCAGATGTAGACTGGGCCGAAGCCTTGCGTCGGGAAGGAGGAGACAGGTTGAGCGGATAAACGCGAAAATCATTCACGTTCAGAGCGACTATGGCGCCGCGCCAGCACCGTTTTGACACCGGGGCTTCGTAGTGCTCGCACCATGGTTTTTGCTGTATCGTATCGGGACGTGATGTTCACAACCAGACGATCAAACTTACCTTCGGCAATTCCCTTTGGCCAGTCTGATGGTTTGGGATGTTTTGGCCCGAGCCTGAACGTTTTTGCGCCGACTTCGGAATGGAATTTCCATCATTTATATCTTGAATAAAATCTAGCCTCCATTGAAAAATCAATGGAGGCTAGATTTTATTTTCAAGATATAAATTTTTTTTTGATATTTTTTTTATTTTGACGTTCATATTAAAACAAAGTGCGAAGAACGAATAAGCGGAAATTGTTGTCAAATGTCCGCGCCAGGAACGAAATCCGGGCCGAATTCACCTACGAATGAAATTTTGGGTAAGATATGGCCTACCTTGAAAAAAAAGTGATTAATGCCTTTCTGCTTTCTTTTCTTTCTTTGCTTCCTTGCTGTTCTACATTTTTGTTATGGGGAAGTCTTCCAAAAAATGTCGAGTAACTTTTCTGCTAGTTGAAAGCAAACTGTACACTCACCTACGAGCAAAGGTTTTTGCCATGTGCGAGCTGCAGAAGCGTGCCAATTGCTCTACTCGAGTAGCACTGGGGGCTGTAGGGTAACAATCGTCGCGTGTCTAGTCTCCGCCCGCACTATCTCAGCCTGCAGCCCTTGCATCGATACCAGAATCTCGTAGCGAATACGCAGATAGAGGTAAAAAAATAACCAGAAGTGAGAGGGTGCAGACATGTAGCGCGTCTGGCTATGGTTGGGCGTGTGGCTGGCCGTGCGCCAGCGCGGGCTGAGGCGGGGACTAAGAGTTACTTCCCTCCAGTTTCCCTCCTGTACATTTCTGGGCGGAGAATGTGGCCCTAGAGCAGTTGCGCATTGTTTCATTTCGCACGTGCCAAGGACTAGGACCTCTTGGGAACGAATGCAGTCTGTTCTTAAGGGGTCACGTCATATGTGCCTTGTTGTTGCTGAAAGTCCTTGGAAAGCCCAATTTAGCACAGAGACAGCAATTCAATGTAGTTAACACCAGTTAAATAACCAAATCACAAAAACAAGAGTGCAATTACATCAGAAAATTGGGATAGTAAGGCAGGGGTGAGGGGTGCATAAAATGCCTAGCATAGGTTCGCAGATTGAAACGATTCTAGGCGCAGTTCGGCGACGGAGAGGGGGATGGCATTTTGCACTTTAGCTGCTTCCCATTGACGCGTCGAAATATCAAATGAAGACCTGCGAAATCTTGTGAAGTCACAAATTATACCACCCAAAGTTTATAGAGACCACCTGTCATCTCTTGTTAAACAATTAAATGGACAGAATATACAAATGCCATTAGCATAGTGGCTTGACAAGCTTGCTGCAGTTTCACGAGAGCTCACAGGTCCAAATAGAGTGAGACTGGTAAAGTGAAACTGGCGAAGCAGCAGAAGTGCAGAATGCCCCTCCGTCGTCGAACTGCGTTCAGTTTTGTAC